ATACTTATAGGTACAAATGAAAATTGAAATAAATTCCGTTATAGATAAAAAGTTTTGATCCGAAACATTTATTATTATTATATGCGATCTAAACATTATTGTATATTATACTGAGTTGCGGCAATATTATAATCAACGTATTATTTAATTTCACCAATTATTTMATTTACACGTCGCGATAATTGATTGCGATAATAATATATAATTGCATTTTTTTTCTCTCAGTATTATAGGTATTATTATTAATATTATTAAAATGAGTTGAGGTAAAAATTGCATATTGATTACTGCAACATGTGCATGTGCAATTYGATGTAGGAGCACGGTACCTATCTACATAATATRTAGTTTATTATTATAAGATATTATRTGYGCCGCACCGACCYGAGTATAATTCGATTTCGAAGTGGGTGTTTCGATCMGTCGAACCGTGTGAGCTYCGGCCACAACGGGTTTGCCGACTTGGCTTTCACGACGATGATCGCTGAAAACGGCGGCGTTCCAAACGGTTTGAAACCGTAAATTATATGCWGGTACCTACCTACGACACGGCGACATTCGATTAAAATCTCGCCGAAGGTGTGAGTGTTTAGAATTTTTTTTCCCCCCGAGGGATGGATGGCCGTCGCAATAATTATAAGGTATTAAGGTAGACACTCGATGGTCCCAATSGCCAGATTTTATCCACCTGTKAGGCTCAAGAAAACTATGCACGACCAATATGTAAGACCTTATTAATATAGATAGGCGACTTTAATAGGCAGGGTGTTTGAGTACGTTTTTTTTTTTCAATTTTAATCGGGAAATTCTAATTAATATTATAATATACTTTCACATTCATATGTAATTAGTAATTAATTGTGATCTATTCGCTTCCATCTTCTTCTTCTCCTCGACTCACCGGTTCATTAAGTACCATTGTTTGCCTTCAACCAATAATGGGTCTTTGGGTTCAATCACTGCCTAATATAGGTCGACTCATATATAGGACACATTCTGGTCTATATTTCAGCTTTAAGATATTTAGTAATTGGAAAAATATTGTACACCGAGTCTCCGGGTTTCCCTAGGAGTCTTGGTTTTTTTTAAATATTTTTACCACTAGTCATTTTAATTTTTTTGTTTTTATTGGCCACCCTTTTCCCAATATGATGCGTATTCAAACCATAATATCGTTCTACCCATC